AAAAAAAAAAAAAAAAAAGAATATAATGACAGACTGAAAAATTCAAGACAGAGCTTCACCAACTCCCTTAATCATGCAGAAGAAAGAATCAACTAACTTGAAGACGGATCATTTGAAATTAAAGGAATAAAAAGAAAAGGAATGAAAATGAGTGAAAAAAGCCTACATGAATTATGGAACACTATCAAGCAAAAGAATGTTTGCATCATGGGCATCCCAGGAAAGGAGAGAAAGGGGTGGAAATATTATTCAAAGAAATAATAGCTAAAATCTTCCTAAATCTTGAGGGAGAGATGAATAACCAGGTTCAGGCAGCTCAGAGGACCCCAAGCAAGATCCATTGTAAGAAGATTACTCTAAAACACATTATAATTAAAATATTAAAAATCAAGGACAGGGAGAGACTTTTGAAAGCAGCAAGAGAAAAATGGCTCATCACATACAATGGAACTCCCATGGGGCTATGAGCAGATTTTTCTGCAGAAACCATGAGGTCAGGAGGGAGTGCGATGATATATTCACAGTGTTGAGAGGAAAAACTGCCAACCAAGAATACTGTCTTTTGGGTTCCTGGACCCAGTTCCAAAGGCAGGTAGGGGGCTTCCCAACATACCACTATACTATGTAAGTCCAGGTTGTTACCTGTACTTTGACCAACTAGCTATAAATCAGAGATTCCCACAATCCTTTCCTCAGTTTTTATTAGCTTGCTAGAGCAACTCACAGAACTCAGAGAGGAATTTTTCTCCCTAGGCCACCAGTTGATTACAAAGGCATGTAACTCAGGCACAGCCAGATGGCAGATATGCATCGGCAAGGTCTGGGGAAAGGGTACAGACCCTCCATTCCCTCCAGGCACGCCACTCTTCCACATCTCCATGTGTTCACCAATGTGAAAGCTCTCCGAAGCCCATCTTTTGGGTTTTTATGGTGGCTTCATCACATAGGCATGATTGGCAAGAATTATTGGCCATTGGAGATTGATTCAGTCTCCAGTCTCACTGCCCTTCCAGGAGTCTATGGACAGGACTAAAGGTTCTAACTCTCTGATCATATAGTTGATTCTCATAGCAACCAGCCATGAGATCCAAAACTCACCTCATTAACATAACAAAAGACACCTTTATCACTCTCATCACTTAGGAAATTCCAAGGGTTTTGGATTAAAAATTTTTTTTTAATGTTTATTTATTTTTGAGAGACAGAGAAACAGAGCGCAAGCAGGGAGAGGCAGAGACAGAGGGAGACGCAGAATCCAAAGCAGGCTCCAGGCTCTGAGCTGTCAGCACAGAGCCCAACATTGAGCTCAAACTCACAAACCATGAGATCATGACCTGAGCTGAAGTCGAAGTCAATATTTAATGGACTGAGCCACCCAGGCACCCCGGAAATCCCAAGGGTTTTGGGAGATGTGCGTGAGGAACAGTGGACAAAGACAAAATATATATGAGTTGACCAAATATATATGTCTTATAAATCACAATATAGCATAAACCCAGCAAAACTGTCCTTCAGAAATTAAGGAGAGATACATTCCCAAACAAAAGCTAAGGGAATTCATCACCACTGGACCTGACTTATGAAAAATGGTAAAAAGAGTTCTTGAAATGAAAGAATGCTAGAAAAATACAAGCTTCCACTTGTGGAATGAATAAATCATGGGAATAAAAGGAACAGCATAGAGAATATAGTCAATGCCATTATAATAGATGGTAGCTATGCTTGTGATAAGCATAGCATAACGTATGAACTTGTCAAATTACTATTTGTATAGTGGAAACTAATGTAACATTGTGTGTCAAGTACACATCAATAAAAAATTTTAAAATGGGGTGCCTGAATGGCTCAATCAGTTAAGTGTCCGAAATCTCTTGATTTCAGCTCAAGTCATGATCTCATGGTCATGAGATTGAGCCCTGTGTCAGGCTCTGCACTGGGCCTGAGGCCTTCATGGAATTATCTTTCTCCCTCTCCCTCTGCCCCTTCCCACCTCAAAAAAAATTGTCCTTTTTAAAAAGTAATTTAAAAATTGGGGTGCCGGGTGGCTCAATGGGTTAAGCGTCCAACTCTTGCTTTTGGCTCAGGTCATGATCTCACAGTTCATGGGATTGAGCCCTGTGTCGGGCTCCATGCTGCCAGCACAGAGCCTACTTAGGATTCTCTCTCTCTCTCTCTCTGCCCCTCCCCTGCTTGCTTGCTCTCCCTCTCTCAAAATAAACATTTAAAAACTAAAAATAAATAAAAATAAAATAAATTATATGATCCTGTCAATAGATGCAGAAGAAGGGTTTGAAAAAATTCAACACCCTTTCATGATGAAAGCTCGGAACAAACTGAGTATAGAAGGTTACCTCAACATAATAAAGACCATGTATTACAAACACAGCTAACATCAGACTCGATGAAAAACTAAGAGCTTTTTCTCTAAAATCAGAAATGAGAGTGCCTACTCTAGCCATTCCTATCCAATGTAGTACTAGAAATCCTAGCTAGAACAATTAGGCAAGAAAAAGAAATGAAAAGCATACAAATAGGAAAGGAAAAAGTAAAATTGTCTGTGTTTGCAGATAACTTGATCTCATGTATAAAAAAAACCCTAAAAATTCCACTAAAGCACTGTTAGAACTAATAAATAAATTCAGGAAAGTTGTAGGATACTATAAGAAAAGTATAGACCATGGGACACCTGGGGGAAATACTTAGAAATAAATTTAACCAAAGGAAGTAAAAGACACGTACATTGAAAACCTTAAGACACTGATGAAAGAAATTGAAGAAGGCACAAACAAATGGTAAGATATTTCATGATGGAACCACAAAATACCCTGAATAGCCCAGGCAATCTTGAGGAAGAATAATAAAGCTAGAGGCATCACACTTCCTGGTTTCCAACTATACTGCAAGGCTGTAGCAATCAAAACAGTGTGATGCTGTTGTAAAAACAGACACATAGACCTATGGAACAGAATTAAGAGCCCAGAAATAAACCCATGCATTTTTGTCAACTAATATTTGACAAGGGAGCTAAGAATATTCAACGGGGAAAGGATGATGCTGGGAAAACTGGATATCTACATGCAAATGAATGAAATTAGGCCACTATCTTACACCACTCAAAAATTAACTCAGAATCAGGGCACCTGGGTGGCTCAGTAGTTGAGTATGTCTGACTCTTGATTTTGACTCAGGTCATGACCCCGGGGTCATGGTATCGAGCCCTGCCATCAGGCTACACATTACATCTACACAGCTACACATCTGGAGCATCACATGCTACAGAGAAATCACTCATGGAAGGGAAAGTCAATAGATGTGGAAACTTCATTGTTAATCTTATTTTAAGAAATTGCCACAGCCACTCCAGCCTTCAGCTGCCACCATCCTGGTCAGTCAGCAGCCATTGACATCGAGGCAGGACCCTCCAGCAGCAAAAAAATAACTATTTTTTTTTAATGTTTATTTATTTCTGAGAGAGAGAGAGATTGAGAGAGAAAGAGATTGTGAGTGGGACAGAGAGAGAGAGAGAAAATCCCAAGCAGGCTCCCTGCTGTCAGTGCAGAGCCCAACACGGGGCAATTGCACATTTAATAGACTACACTGTAGTGTAAACATAACTTTATATGTGCTGGGAACCAAAACCTTTATTTACCTCACTTTATTGTGATACTTGCTTTATGGTGGTATTCCGGAACCGAACCCACAATATCTCCAAGGCATGCCTATACCAATGTAAACAAGCCAGACCAGTTTAAGATAAACACCAGTCCAGCACCTTTTTTCTTTTTTTAGGCCTGCATGCTTGTTTTTCAACCAGACCTCGATATCGCACTCCCTGACCTAGCTGAGAACAATGAAGTGATTATCTGTCTTGACTGCTCCGCTTCCATGGAGGGTGCGACATTCTTGCAAGCCAAGCAAATTGCCTTATATGCACTGTCCTTGGTGGGAAAGAAGCAAAAGATAAACATTGTCAAGTTTGGCACAGGTGAGTGCTCTTTGGCCCCAGTCCAAAGCGTGCTTCCTCCTTAATATGAACATGCTCATGGGTAGAGCTGATGGCTGTTAGTACCCTGACCTCACCTGTGGAGTAAGAGGTAGCATAGCATGGAGTTCAAGAACCAGAACACCGGAGCCAGATCCCTGGCTTCACATTCCAACTCTATCACTTACTAGCCCTGGCTGTCACCTTGGGCAAATTACTTGAACTTTTTATACCTCAGTTCCCTCATCTGTAATATAAGGGTGATAGTTCCTACCTCACAGTGTTGTTGTAAGGATTGAGCTAATGCCTGTAAAGGATTTAAAACAGTGCCTATCACATATCAAGTGCTTTATAAATACTACTAGTGTTCCTAGCAGCTGAACCAAATGCAAGACCCTTGGTTGAGATGTATGAGGGTCCCAAGCATATGGGCAGAACATGTGAAATCAGCACAATGTAGAAAATCTATAAGGGTTCAGCAAGCATCAGATCAGCCCTTTTAGAGGAAAAGCAATACCATCCGCCAGGTGGGGGTCCAGGGACATGTCAGCCACCAGAAGAAGGTATTTCAGGAATGAGAGAAAGAACCGGAGTAGAGTGAGGGGGCAGTCTGGTCCTGATGATTCTTACTTTCCATCCCATTGAGCAGAAGACCTGCCCTTTTATGGAGGAGCTAGGGTCTGCTGCTGCTGGGCAGAGGTCAGATAAGCCTGGGAAAACCAAGGCCCTGGGAAGGAGAACGTGTCCCTCCCGTGGCCAGGCTGCCTGTGCTGTTGTGACACCCCACATCTTACTTTGCATGAGCAATCTGCTACAGAACAGAAGTCTACATGTAATTTTATTCGGGACACTTTGCATTGTAAAGTGCATAGTTTCAGTGCACTAGAGTTTATTACTTAAAGGAATAGTGTGCTGAATTTTTGGTATGTTAAAACTATCAAACATTGTTAATGGTCAGTAAAGTGAATATTTCGTAGCTACACCTCACACCAATCTTATCACACAGGTTACAAGGAATTATTTTCATATCCTAAGTACATCACAAGCAACAATGTGCCAACAGAGTTCATTATGGTGAGTAAAAGGACCTTCCTTCATCTCTTGGGTCTTTTCCTATCAAGGTTTAACAGTACTGTCCGGACTTATTCCCCCCACGAGCGCTATTGGAACACCCCCAGTCCTTCAGTTTTTGTATGTTGGTGGGCTCTTTTATTTTATTAATAAAAGCCATATGAACTCACTAAAGAAAAACTGGAAATTAAAAAGGGTAGAAAGAAAAAAATCGCCCACATTCCTACCACCTAAATGCAGCAGCGTTGGAATGTTTTCTTCTGTTCCTTTTTTTCTATTTCTGAAGACAGAGCAAGCTGAGAATGACTAATTGCTTCCTCAGTCCATGCCAGCAAACCCTGGGGAAGCATAAAAAAAGTCAAATAAGTGTCCACTGATAATATTATAGTGACTGTGTGACATAAAACAAACTAAGAGGATATAAGTGTAGTTGTTGCACAAATGTATAATTGAGAAAAAAATATATCTTTTCAGTGACGATGTCTCTAAACCCTCACTGAGACGTGCTTCAGTAAATGATGACAGTTAATGGTGAATAGACCCCAAAAGTAGTAAATAACCTTTCACTTCATTTCCTCTAGTCTGCTACACCTACCATGGGAAATACAGACTTCTGGAAAACACTCCGGTATTTAAATTTACTGTACCCTTCTCAAGGGTTACGGAACATTCTCCTTATATCTGATGGGCACCTCCAGAATGAGAGTCTGACATTGCAGCTTGTGAAAAGAAATGTCCAACACACCAGGCTGTTCTCCTGTGGTATTGGGTAAGTGTGGGAGGTCTAGTGACACAGTGAACACTGTGGGTGAAGAAGGCAGCCTGTGGGCAGGGTTTTTCTTGTTGGCCTACACAGGATTTCTAGAAGTTTTGAAGTTGATAACGGTGTATAGAAACTGTTTAGCATATAGTTGTAGAGCTCTGGGCTCTGAGACTGCCTGGGTCTCAATACCTGAATTGGCCATTTGTTAGCTCTGACCTTGGGCATGTTGTTAAATCTCTTGTGTATAAAATGAAGATGATAGTGAAAAAGTCATAGATTTAATAGGTTTACTCTGAGGATTCAATGAGCTCATATATAAAAAGTACTTACGGGGCACCTGGGTGGCTCAGTCAGTTAAGCGTCTGACTCTTGATTTTGGTTCAGGTCATGATCTCACTGTTTGTGAGTTCCAGCCCCGTGTAGGGCTCTACACTGACAGTATGGAGCCTACTTGGGATTCTCTCTCTCTCTCTCTCTCTCTCTCTCTCTCTCCCTCCCTCTCTCTCTCTCTCTTTCCCTGCCAAGCTTACAATCTCTCTGTCTCTCTCTGTCTCTGTCTCTCTCTCAAAAATAAATAAACATTAAAAAAATAAAAATAAAAAGTACTTAAGAATAGTCTTAAGAACAGAGATGGCACACGGCAAACACCAAGTCAACGTTAGATATTATTATGTTACATAAAAATCCAGATTTCCAGCCTATCCTGAGAAGCCTGAAGTGCCGGGCGCACCCCCACCCCTGGCGGTTTGTGACCAGGGCTGAGGGTCCCACCCAGGCTCTTGCTCCTTCACACCTTTGTGGTGGCTGCCACATTTGCACTTTCAAACCCTATAATGGACTTAAGATCTCTCTCTCTGGAGGCTAGACCCTCTTCATTGTTGGAATGAACCCCCACCCCAATTATAGTTAGCTGTTTTGGACGAAACCGAGGTGTATGGTGTAAACATAAGGAAAACACCAAGGGCCAGACTGGTGTTTGCACAGAGCATGCCTGCACCCTCGTCTCCTGGGACTCTCCCCCACATAGTCACCATCCTGGGAAATGATCACCAGGCCTCCCTATTCTGAGGCAGTGCATGGAGCGGGAGAGCTCCTCAACACAGGGGTAGGGGTGGAGGTGGGTGTTGCTGTTCTCTGGGGCCACTGTGCTGTCCTGGACCAGGGTCCTCCTCAGGCCTCGGCCATGACTTTCAGGAGCTGGAGCCCTAGACACCCTTTGAGGGCCCTGTACCCAAGCCAGACCTGCCTGCCCAGAGGGCTCTTCTCCTCTGTCTGCCCTGCCTCAGTCACAGCTCCAGTCCTGTTCCCTAATGTGAGAGCTGGGCACCACAGACCAACCAGGAAATTATGCAGCCCCCCGTGGACTTCCCCAGCAAGTGCTCCTAAATGGACTTCACCTGAGTAACTTGTGCCTGTACACACAGGGGGCTGGCCGCAACACGCTGCAGGGACCTGCCTCCTCCCTGCTCCCCTGACCGTGTGGCAGAGGCAGTGCCAGGGTCGTGGCTCAGACATCAGTGCAGAAGACACCGGGCCCCGTTGATACCTTTTTTGCTGAGGGCCTGTCATGAGACAGATGCGCCTTGGTGCAGGACCACAGTGCCGGGTATGGGGAGCCAGACAGCAAACAACCCAGTAAGCTCAAAGGGAGATGGGTTTTCCTAAGTGCCACGAAGGCAATAGGGGAGGACGCCGTGATGGGGGTGGGTGGGCACAAACCTCCTTTGGGAGGTGACTTTGTGCTCTCACACAACCCACCCTGAGAGAGCTGGAAGTTTTACTGATTTTCTGTCAGGTTTTTAGGATCTTTCTACAGGTTTCTCATACTCATTTGTGTTCACAAACTCTAGCAAGATGTGAGTTCTCCAGGAGTAGAGACTGAACTATTGCCTATTGTAACAAGCTGTCCCCTGAGGTCCGCACAGCAGGAGCAAAAACAGATTCCAAGCAGCCTTACTAGCTGATGAAATTGGTAAAAGAGAAATAAACTCCAGCTTAGGGGGATTCTCTAACTGGTGTTGTAGTCACCACCAATTAATTTTGAAGACTAAAGACAAATCCAATCTTTAATAAATAGGTTAAGACATATTTCAGAAATAAATAACTTTCTTAAGCTCTTTTCCTGAAAAATAATTGTTTCTTTATTATTTTAGGAGGAACGTCTCTAAGAAAAGCTTTCTTAATAGTTACAGAATTATTATCAAGAGAAATTTAATACAACATTGTCATTCAAATAGCAAAGCTTATTTTTGCTAGAAAGACACTTCCCTATCCTTTTTGCTATCTAGTTGTGCATCATAATTTTTTAATGTTTGTTTGTTTGTTTGTTTGTTTGTTTGTTTTGAGAGACAGAGAGAGAGAGAGCAGGGGAGGATCAGAAAGAGAGGGAGAGAGGGAATCCCAAGCAGGCCCTGCACAGTCAGCGCAGAGCCCAATGCGAGGCTTGATCTCACAAACCATGAGATCATGACCTGAGCCAAAATCAAGAGTGGGACGTTTTATCTGCTGAGCCACCCATGTGCCCCCAGATGTGCATTATATTTGAAGATGTAGACTTTATTAACTCTTTGCCAGTTCTTGGCCTTTGGGATCAAATTTGAGTAACTGACATTCATTGAAAGCAGGTTGATATTTTTACCAGTATTCTGATAACTTTTCAGAGGTTTTTCAGAATCATCTCTTCTCTCTTTTGGTAAATCAGGAGTCGAGAATTTCTGCTTTTTTTTTTTTTCTATTGTGAAAGAGAAATAGGTTTTCTGATATATGGGAGCCTAAATTACCCAAAGCTTCAGATGTTTCATACTGTCTGTCCTGAGTTTTATCTCTCTAACCTCAACTACAGAAAAGCAATTCTTCTGCATATAATGTTTCCTCTATTGAGTTCTGAACTATATCAACACTGTTTACATGTACTTCAAAAACATTTCTAGGGGCGCCTGGGTGGCGCAGTCGGTTAAGCGTCCGACTTCAGCCAGGTCACGATCTCGCGGTCTGTGAGTTCGAGCCCCGCGTCGGGCTCTGGGCTGACGGCTCAGAGCCTGGAGCCTGTTTCTGATTCTGTGTCTCCCTCTCTCTCTGCCCCTCCCCCGTTCATGCTCTGTCTCTCTCTGTCCCAAAAATAAATAAACGTTGAAAAAAAAAAAATTTTTAAAAACATTTCTAAAATTTCTTGAAGATTATAACATGTGAAATGTGATCAGTTCTACAGCAAATCGTCATATCTTAAGGACTTTGTCCCAGTACGGTGCTGGAGTATTTGAGTATTTTAACTCAAAATCCAAACACAGTTGGAAAAAACAGGTACGTTTCTCAAACATCTTATTTCTAGTTTTATGCTTATATGTGGAAATAATATCTTCTTACAAATCCATTGACGGTAACTTCTGTGTTTTCGTTAATAGAAAGGGGCCCTACCAAAAGGCCACAGGCCTGAAGGTATTGCACCCCTCAGTTATTGTCTAACATCTAGCAGAAACATTCTCCTTAATTGGGTCATTCTCTTAGCTTGTAGTTTGATTTCTTCTTTATAAAGTATCATGGGGGATTTTTAAAGGTAAAGTAGTATCCATGTTTTGTTAGCATTATCTGTCATTATGGCAAAATATACATAAAATTTACCATTTAACCATTTTTAGTGGCATTAAGGCACATTCGTAATGTTGTGCAGCCATCACTTCCATCCATCTCCAGAATTTTTCATCATCCGAAACAGAAACTCAACTCATTAAAGAGCTGCTCCCGTTGTACCTACACCCCAGCCCCTGCCAACTACCATTCTACTTTCTTTCTGTGAATTTGACTACTTTAGATACTTCATGTAAGCGGAATCCTATAGTATTTGTCCTTTTGTGCCTGGCTTATTTCACTTAGTATAATATTTTCAAGATCTATGCACATTGTAGACTATGTCAGAATTTTCTTCCTTTTTAAAGGCTAAGTAATATTTCATTGTGTGCACACACCACATTTTGTTTATGGGTTCATTTGTTGATAGACATTTGTGTTGTTTCCACCTTTTAGTTGTTATGAGTTATGCTGCTCTGAGTATTGACACACAAGCATGTGTTCAGGACTCTGATTTCAGTTATTTTAGGTGTATACCCAGAGGTGGAATTTCTGGGTCATATGGTAATTCTGTGTTTAGCTTTTTGGAACTGCCATACTGTTGTTCATAGCAGCTGCACCATTTTATATTCCCATCAGCAATGTACTAGGGTTCTAGTTTTTCTACATAATCAATAGCACTTGTTGTTTTTGGGGTTTTTGTTTTGTTTTGTTTCATAATAACCATTGTAGAGTGTGAAGTTGTATTTCATTGGGGTTTTGATTTGCATTTTGCTAATTACTAGTGATGTTGAACAACTTCTCACGTGCTCCTTGGCCATCCGTACATCTTCTTTGGAAAACATCTATTCAAGCCCTTTGTAGGATTAATTTGTATAATTGGAATCTACTCCCTGCAAAAGTTGTATATTAGTAATTAACTAATGGAATTATTTAAGGATGTTTTGCACGTTTAAATTATGTGCTAATGCTATTAAGAACTCTATTTAAGGGGCGCCTGGGTGGCTCAGTCGGTTGAGCGTCCAACTTCAGCTCAGGTCGTGATCTCACGGTCCGTGAGTTTGAGCCCCACATCGGGCTCTGTACTGACAGCTCAGAGCCTGGAGCCTGTTTCAGATTCTGTGTCTCCCTCTCTCTCTGCCCCTCCCCCATTCATGCTCTGTCTCTCTCTGTCTCAAAAATAAATAAAAATTAGAAAAAAAATTTTTTAAAAAGAATTCTGTTTAAAATCTTTTTGAAAAAGTACCCTGAGCAGGAAGGAGGAAAAGAAAAAAAAAAAAAAAAAAAAAAAAAAAAAAAGAGAGCTACAAATCCTGAAAGATAGAATGTAAAATTATTCTCAGTGTTAAGTCACTATTTTCTGGGTGTAACATTGAAAGAGAAATAATTCCTTTCTTATAAATAGATAGAAGACCAGATGACCCGGTTGCATTCTCCAAGTTGTCACTCTGTCTCCGTCAAGTGGCAGCAGCTAAGTGCAGATGCACCTGAACCCCTGCAGGCCCCAGCCCAGGTGCAGTCCTTGTTCCTCAACCATCGACTCCTTGTCTACGGATTTATTCCTCATTGCACACAGGTGAGGAAGCACATGGCTGGTTTTAGTGTGGGAAGAACAATGTATGTTGCCAAGAGTTCTATTTTTCTTTTCTTTCTCTTTTCTTTCCTCTCCTCCCCCCAGATCATAATATGCTGGCAAATCTTTCTGCTTCTGCAAACATAATGGGTAGTTACCTAGGGACATTGGGGAGCCTTTTAACTTCCATTGAAAGGAGAGAGAAAATCACTGTGAAACTAACCAAGACACTGTGGAGTGAACAAGCTAATAAGGGATTTCCTTCCCACCCCCACCCCGTTTCAGGCAACTCTGTGTGCATTAATTCAAGAGAAAGAATTTTCTACAATGGTATCAACTACTGAACTTCAGAAGACAACTGGAACTGTAAGATTCAAAACTTGAACTATGAACTCACTGTTTGAAAGTTGTCATCATTTAATATTTTCTTGTATAATGCTCCCTGTACTTCCTTTGTTGCTCCTGTTTCTCTGTGTTGACACTTCAGTACACAATATGATGTGGAGGATTGTTATCCGTACAAATGAGGACACTTGCATTCAGTTTCTAACACAGTACTTCTTCTTCTGGGGTTCTTGAGTCTCGTGTGTCCACATGAGCATCAGTGGCTATGAATAACTGCAATGAAACTTGGTATTTTATACGTGAACAGTTTTTAGGGGAGGTTCTCGAATGTGTCCATGACTCAATAAAAGTTAAGTGCCACGATCCACCCATGTTATCTCGTATTACTCAGTATAATAGTCCTAGGCCAAGAGTAAACATATATTGAGAGTGTGTTTGTCTTTTCTACTTTTGGATTAAAAGCAAATGAATTATCACTGAAAAGTTTGTAGTATTTGCATTAGTACTTGATCTACTATAGTCAGACCTGGAAAATCCCTCACCTATGTATATTATATGTGCAGTTTGCTATTCATAGAAGTATTTGCATAAGCAGATAAACTATTTCCCAGACATTGCAGATTTTTGTTTTTTGTTTTTCGAATAAAATATGACTTGCTTTTTTACCCCAAATCAATAATTATAACTTATTATTTGCACGTGATGTGTGTATAGAAGTTTAGGGAATCTCCATATTGGTTTAAAAATTGAATCTAAGGAGGAAATTAAGTCAAACGGTTTTGCCTGGGAAGAGGTCATTCTCCATGAAATTGCAGTTTTTATAGTGGTACTTTCTCTGTGAGCTGTGGCCCTACTGATAACAAAATTACAAGAGTTGGAATTATTATGGAAATGAGACATTGCCATTTAAGATCAGTTGTGTTTCTTCGTTGGAGAGAAAGGGAGGCGATCCTTTACCCCACACTTCCCAGGGCACATTTTGCTGCCCCTGCCCTTCCGAGTGGAGGTCACATTCACGGTGGGGCATCGCAGCACTAGGCTGACTCATCCTACAGAAGAACAGCTTACGGTTTTTGAGATAAACTGAAGTTGCAAAATACCCTTTCACAGAAAAGGCAAAACTGTAGGGACAGAAAACAGATGAGTGGGTGCCAGGGGCTAGAGGTGACAGCCAGGGGCGTGAGGAACTTTTGAAAGTGAAGAACTGTTCTGAATCTTTATTTCAGTGTGGTCATCACAACTGTATACATTCGTTACAGCTCACCAAACTGGACACTTTTAAAAGGGGTGAATTTTTTGTATGTACTGTTATACCTCAAGTTAAAAGTGGTTTTCTAAGTAAGACTTCAGTTAGAAGCCATTTGAATCTTTTTTTCCCCTTTGCTGCTTCAACACAGATGATACACAAGCTGACAGCGCGAGCTCTGATCCGAGATTATGAAGATGGCATTCTCCATGAAAATGAAACGAATCATGAGGTTCGCTCTTTCCCTTGTTCTTGATGCTTCTTAAATTGATTTTATCCATGGAAACGTAAAGTGAGGATAGCTGGGTGGAGAAGCATGTGGGGGGGTGGGGTGGGAATTCATTGTTGTGTCTGTATTTTCTGCACCTACGGTGCTCAGTACATGTTCGTTAAATGGATCAATGAAAGAGCAGATGTCATTGGTTTCCTGAGAATTCTATGACCATTTTACTCATCAGAAAGAGACCAGAAGAGGGCTCAGAGGACAGTCACTGAGTGCCTGTCATAAATGTCACCTTAGATTTCATACATTGTAGGCGCTGGTAGTCTCATCGTAGTGATGAAGCAGCCCAGGTGCAGGGCAGGTAGGTGAGCAGTCTAAAGACAGACAGTGGAGCCAGAGCCTGCCCTGCTCCTTCTTCACTGAGCCGATGCGGCCCTTGGCAGGGGGTCCCACTCAGCCAGCCCACCAATGGCCTGGTGCCTCTGGAGCTGTGAACTTAAATGAGCTTAGGAGCAGTCATACCCAGTGCCCTTCCAGAAAGAAGGCACCAGAGTGCCATGCCTGGCTGTGAATGCAGTCACAGCCAGTGATAGAGGGCCTTGTGTTTTCACTGTTCTCCCTTGCTGCCCTTGGATTAGCAGCCTGTGTTCTGCTTTACTTTAGGCCTTCTTTCCTCTAGGGGCAGCTGACCAGCCCTGCCACCAAATACTCCTGAACAGGTCCCTCCACCTCTCCACACCTTGGACTCCCCATCTTTAAAATGGGAGGCGTGGACTGTCTGTAAAAGAATGCAGAAGCTCACCACACTTGAGGATGAGAGTTCTTTGTTAACCGTAAAGAGCTATGTAAATATGAATTATTTTTTTCTATGACTTAGCCAGTCACTTGATCCTATTTTGCAGAGTCCCCTACTCAAGACATTCACACAGGGCCATTGACTCAATTTAACTTGAAATGCTAATTGTAAAATGCTTTATTTTATAGAAAAAATGCCTTGTTAGATTATTTAACACTTGTTTTATTGGTCATACATGGCTAACTAGTGAAAAATAAAGTGAAATGTGACTACACTTGTTTGATTCTATCCTAGATGAAGAAGCAAATGTTAAAATCTCTGATTATTAAACTCAGTAAAGAAAACTCTCTCATAACACAATTTACAAGCTTTGTGGCAGTTGAGAAAAGGGTATGTATTGTTGTTAATTCATGGCTATTTCATTTGTATTTGCATATTAAGAAAATTTCTCTTGCTCTATCACTGACAGTATCCACATTCATGACTCACAAAGAGCAGGGGAAGAGGGCAGGGAGGACCATCAAAGCAGGGCCTTGCATTCATGAAGGGCCTCACAGTTAGCGTTTGTGATAATCTCTCTAAATGAGTCACATGTACTATTATTTTTAATGTTATAATTATTAGTTATGTGTGTACTTCTGAGATATACTACAATTTTGTTACATTTTGGTATTTCTCATCTTTTATTAATGCGAGACCCTCAAAAAGTAGAAAGGGCTTGAGCTTCCCCTCCCGTGAGAGGCCCTTTCTCTTTCATAAATTTAAGAGGAAACCCACAGAAGGCACTTTGTACACGGCACCCAGCTCAATAAAAAGGAAAGCTAAGTGTGTGCCTCTCTCTCTCTCTCTCTCTCTCCCTCTTGTGGCCCAAGACACCCAATCTGACACCCAAATGCACTAAGGATTCACCAGGCTTTAGAATGTATAGTAATCATTTGATTTGATAATGTCTGTTTTATTTCTACCTAATTGTGATTCAATATAGGATGGTAAGGAGGCACCTTCTCCTAATATTCCAAATATTATGGAACTTATTGCCAAAGAGGATGTAGATTTCCTGCCATACATGAGCTGGCAGGAGGAGCAACCAGATGCCAGTGTGGTACAGGTAAATGTTAATTACCAAATAAGTCGATATTGTGTTTTCATATTTTAATGATGGTGAGGGGAACCCTTTGCTAAAATAGCACCCTATTGCTTGTATATGCAGAAACTGTTGTCTCCCTCATAATGGAAAATATTTGCGCATTTATAAAAAAGCTGTTATGTGACTGAGAAAGGCAGCATATATAAATGTATTTATAGAGTCCCAAAGGAGAACAACTGTGATTTGGCTTCATTCATAGACAAATAAACTGCCATACAGGAAACTAAAGTTATTTATTCTAAGTAATTGATAGGTTCATCATGAAAGTAGTGATAAAAGTCCTATATAGTAATCTAAATCCACCACGAATAATTCTTAAAGCTAATAGTGCTTTATACTGTGGCCTTTGTAGCCAGAAAACAGAAGCTGAGAAATGTGACTTGCATAGAAAGTGGAAGGCATATGCAAAACCAAAGGAACATAACAGTGCTATTAGACCCTTAGGTGTCTAGGTTGGTTAAAAAAAAAAAAAAAGCCAAAATTTTGGAATTCAGAATCTAACGAAAAAATTTGAGAGGAATTTTGGGAAAATATGCAACATTCATTTTCCTCGATCCATTTTGAAGTTATTATGTCAGTTAAGAATATAAAAACACATCAGATATCATTTGCTTGCTTTGCTCATAAAACCATGTTTTGAGATGGTAAATGACAACAGAGCAACAACAAAACCACAGATGTTTCCTCAAATCCTGCATGCAGAATTTTTGTTTTGTTTCATCTTCTAGTTGTCTTTAAAGAAAGGAAAGGGGAAGAATAACTTCTGAAAATCCTGTTTCCACGTTTTTTCTGAGTTTACTTCTCTGGTCACATAGTTCCTCCTAGATCAAAGAGAAATTGTAGCTGCCACAGAAGAGATGGGCAGTGGCAGGGTTGGGGGGTGACTGCAGCCCGCCTCGCAGACACAGAGGTAGGTGGCCTCTGAGGCAGCTCTCCGGTTGTTGCAAGCCCGCTGCCCTCTGGCTGAAGTGACTTCCAGGGGATTTAAAGAGCCTGCAGCTTTACTCCCCCTGCTCATTTTTTGCTCTTCCCTTTTTGGGAGCCAGACACTGAACACCAGGACATTCAAAAACAACTGCATATATGGGAATAATTAAAAAGTGTCTGCACAAAACCAACGAAAAGCTCAGAAAAGACCTACGAAGGCATTAAGTTTACTTCAGGCTGATTCTCAGCACAGAGACAGCCTACAACAATTAAAAAAGGAAAAAAAAATAACAAGAAGCTTTTAGGCTACTAGGAAAGGGAAATCCCTCGTTTGATGAAGGGCACAAATGAAGAACTTAAAGTTAATGTCATATTTAATGGTAAAATACTGAATGGTCTTCCCCTCAGGGTGGGTACAAGGCAAGGATGTCTGACCTTACCACTTCTGTTCAACATTGTACAGAATATTCTAGCTGGTACCTAAGGCAAGAAAAAATATATAAAAAGCATACAGGTTGGAAAGAATCAAAACTTTCTTTACTCATAAGCAACCTAATTGTATATGTAGAACCTCTTAAAGACTCTATAGAAAGATTAGTGGCACTAATAAGTGAGTTTGGCAAAGTTACAGGATGCAAGGTCAATGTAAGAAACCAACTGGACTTCTGTATACTAGTAATAATCAGAAACTGAAACTTAAAAAACAATAGCACTTATAATACCATAGAAAATACAAAATACATAGAATCAAATTTGACGAAATATAAGCAGGACCTATACATTGAAAGTTAAAAAATTGCTGAGAAAATTGCAGTTGAAGAAGACCTAAATAGATGTTCTTGAATCAGATGATTCCATATTGTTAAGATACTGATTCTCCTCAGATTGATATATAGATTCAATTCAATACAAATCAAAGTCCCAGCAAGTTTTTTTGTTTAGAAATTGAAACACTCCATAACCAGTAAAAAAAAAATTGACTCAGTAATCAAAAATCTCCCAACAAACAAGAATACAGGGCTGGGTGGATTTCCAGGGGAATTCTACCAAACATTTAAAAAAGAGTTAACACCTATTATTTTGAAGCTGTTCCAAAACAGAAATGGAAGGAAAACTTCCAAGCTCACTCTATGAGGCCAGCATTACATTGATTCCAAAACTAGACAAAGACCCCACTAAAAAGAACTACAGACCAATTTTCCTAATGAACACGGATGCAAAAATCCTCAACAAGATACTAGCCAACCGGATCAAATAATACATTAAAAGAATTATTCACCACGACCAGGTGGGATTTGTACCTGGGATGCAGGACTGGTTCAATATCCACAAAACAATCAATGTGATACATCACATCAATAAAAGAAAGGACAAGAACCATATGGTCCTCTCAATAGATGCAGAGAAAGTGTTTGACAAAATACAACAGCCTTTCTTGATTAAAAAAAAAAACCCTCAAGAAAGTAGGGATAGGAGGATCACACCTTGAGATTATAAAAGCCATATATGAAAGACCCAATGCTAATATTATCCTCAATGGGGAAAAATTGAGGGCTTTAAGGAACACAAGGTCAGGAATACAAGGATGTCCACTCTTACCACTGTTATTCAACATAGTGTTGGAAGTCCTAGCCTCAGCAATCAGACAACACAAAGAAATAAAAAGCATCCAAATCAGCAAGGAGGAAGGCAAACTTTAATTCTTCATAGGTGGCCTGATATTCTGTGTGGGAAACCTAAAAGACTCCACCAAAAAACTGCTAGAACTGATATAGGAATTCAGCAAAGTCACAGGATATAAAATCAACGTATAGAAACTGGTTGCATTTCTATACACCAATAATGAAGCAACAGAAAGAGAAATCAAGGAAGCAATCCCATTTACATTTGCACCAAAAACCATAAAATACCTAGGAATAAACCTAACCAAATTGGTATAAGATCTGTATGCTGAAAACTATAGAAAGCTTATGAGAGAAATTGAAGAAGACACAAACAAATGGGAAAACATTCCATGCTCCTGGATAGGAAGAACAAATATTGTTAAAATGTCGATACTACCCTAAGCAATCTACATATTCGATGCAATCCCTATCAAAATAACACCAGCATTCTTCACAGAGCTAGAACAAACAATCCTGAAATTTGTATATAACTGGAAAGGACCCCAAATAGCCAAAGCAATCCCGAAAAAGAAAACCAAAGCTGGAGGCATCACAATTCCAAACTTCAAGATGTATTACAAAGCTGTAATCATCAAGACAGTATGGTACTGGCACAAGAACAGACACATAGATCAATGGAACAGAATAGAGAACCCAGAAATGGACCCACAAACGTATGGCCAACTAATCTTTGACAAAGCAGGAAAGAATATCCAATGGATAAAAGTCTCTTCAACACACGGTGTTGGGGAAACTGGACAGTGACATGCAGAAGAATGAACCTGGGCCACTTTCTTAACACCATACACGAAAATAAACTCAAAATGGATGAAAGACCCATTTGTAAGACAGGAAACCATCAAAATCCTAGAGGATAAAACAGTCAACTACCTCTTTGACCTTGGCCACAGCAATTCCTTAACTTGAGATGTCTCTGGAGTCAAGGGAAACAAAAACAAAAATGAACCATGGGGATCTCTCAAAATAAGAAGCTTCTGCACAGCAAAGGAAACAATCAGCAAAACTAAAAGGCAATCAACAGAATGGGAGAAGATGTTTGCAAATGTTATATCAGATTGGATTTGATTGGATTGGATTTGGATTTGGATCCAAAATCTATAAAGAACTTATCAAACTCAACACCCCAAAAAACAACTAATCCAGTGAAGAAGTGGGGAAAAGACATGAAGAGACACTTTTCCAAAGAAGATCCAGATGGCCAACCGACACACATGAAGAAAGATGCCTCAAAGGGGGCACAAATACCAACAAGTACAAATTAAAACCACAATGAGCTACCACCTCACACCTGTCAGAATGGCTAAAATTAGCACCTCAGGCAACAACAGATGTTGGCAAGGATGCAGAGAAAGAGGAACGCCGATGGTGGGGAATGGCAGTGGAAAAAAGCAGTAGCCACTCTTAAAACAGTAGGGAGGTTCTCAAAAAAAAAAAAAAACATTAATAGAACTACCCCAGACCCAGTGAATTGAAATACAATGATTTTCAAAGGATAAAAAATGTTGGGATCTGGGGCACATGCACCCCATAATGTTTAGTAGTAAAAGCAGACTGCCTAATAATAGCCAAAGTATGGAAAAGAGTCTGCAAATGTCCACCCAAGGGCTTGAATGATGGGGAAGAAGATGTGGGGTGTGTGTGTGTGTGGGGTGACAATACATTACATGATTATATATATATATATATATATATATATATATATATATATATATTTATATATTTATATATTATAATGAAATTAAAGATCGAAAAAGAATGAAATCTTGCCATTTGCAACAGTGTGGATGGAACTAGAGTGTATTATGCTAAGTGAAATAAGTCAGAGAAAGACATATATATGATTTCACTCATATGTGGAATTTAAGATACAAAACAGATGAATATAATGGAAGAGAAGCAAAAATAAGATAAAAACAGAGACGGAGACAAACCATAAGAGACTCTTAAATACAGAGAACAAACTGAGGGTTGCTGGCGGGTGTTGGGTTGGAGGGAAGGGCTAAATGGGCAAGGGGCATTAAGGAGAACACTTGTTGGGATGAGCACTGGGTGTTATATGTAAGTGACAAATTACTAAATTCTATTCTTGAAGTTATTGTTACATTATATGTTTACTAACTTGGATTTAAATTAAAAGAAAAAACACTAATTTCAAAAGATAAAAAATAAATAAAGTTAATGGCACTGAAAAAAAAAAAGAAACTGACACACTAATTTCAAACGTTTTATGTAAGGGTAACAGATCTCGGCTAGCCAAAACAACTTTGAAAAGGAAGAAAATGCTGGAGGCCTTACACTATCTGATTTCAAGACTACTATTTTATAAGGCTACAGTAATTAGGAGAGTGTGATATTGGTGTAAAATAGACATCTGTACCATGGGAACATCACTGGAACATGTAACAGTTGGAACAGAGTAGAGAGTCTAGAAATATACCCACATATATAAGGTCAATTGATTTTCTACGAAGGTGTCAAGGTAATTCAATGGGAAAGGGTGATTTTTCCAACAAATGTTTCTGGAACAATTGGATAGCCATATATGAGGCAAAAATGAACCTCTGCCCTCAGCTCACACTGTGTGCAAAAATTGATTGGATTGCAGACTTGAATGTAACAACTGAACAGTGCTAGAATATCTAGAAGAAAAAGTAGGAAAAAATGTTAGTGAATTTGGGTTGGACAAAGGCTTCTTAATTTTTTTAGGGTTTTTTGTTTGTTTGTTTGTTTGCTTTGAGAGAGAGGGAGCATGACCAGGGTGGGGGCAGATAGAGAGGGAGAGAGACAGTCCCAAGCAGGCTCCATGCCATCAGCACAGAGCCTGATGCAGGGCTTGATCCCACGAACTGTGAGATTATGACCTGAGTCAAAACCAAGAGTCAGACACTTAGCCAACTGAGCCACCCAGGCACCCCAAGTTTTCTTAAATTAAAAAAAAATCTGTAAAAAATTGGTGAATTGGACTTCACTAGAATCAAAACTTTTGCTCTTTGGGTTCAACTCTATCAGTTGAATGTCTAACTCTTGATTTCTGTCCAGGTCATGATCCCAGGGTTACAGGATCAAGCCCCACATCGGGGTCTGTGCTGAGCATGTAGCCAAAAAAACACACAAACTTTTACTCTTCAGAAGACCCCCTTTAAGCAAATGAAAGGGGAAACCACACAGACAGTGAGAAAATATTTGTAAAACATACCTGGCAAAGACTTATCTAAAATATAGAAAGAAATCTTAAAATTCAATAATAAGAAAATCCAATAAAATAATGAACGGATTTGAACAGACACTTCACCAGAGAAGGTATACAGATGGCAAACAAGCATATGAAAAGATGCTGTACGTCAGAATATGCAAGTTGGAATCACAGGGAAATACCTTTACATACCCACCAGCATGGCCTAAAAGGGACTGACAGTACTAGATGTGGTGAGGATGTGGAACAACTGTAACTCCCACGCGCTGCTGGTGGGAGTACAAAATTGCATAACCATTGTGGAAATTCTTTGGGAAAGGACTACTCTTTTTTAAAAATAGCTCTTTTACATTGGTAAAATGACAAGCTAATTATTTTTTTTTAAGATTTTATTTTTAAGTAATCTCCAAACCCAATATGGGGCTCAAATTTACATCCCCGAGATCAAAAGGCACATGCTTGGGGTGCCTGAGTGGCTCAGTCAGTTAAGGTCCAGCTCTTGACTTCAGCTCAGATCATGAGCTCACAGTTCATGGGTTCAAGCCCCACATAGGACTCTGTGCTGACAGTGCAGAGCCTGCTTGGGATTCTCTCTCTCTCTCTCTCTCTCTCTCTCCCTCTCCTTCTCCCTCTCCCTCTCCCTCTCCCTTTCTCCATCCCTCTCTCCCTCCCCTGCTCATGCACACACACTCTCTCTCTCTCCCTGTCTCCCTCTCTCTCTCAAAATAAATAAATACACTTAAAAAAAAAAAAAGAGTCACATGCTCTACACCTGAGCCAGCCAGGTGCTGCCAGGCTAATTATTTCCAAAATATCTCAAACTTGTAATTCATATAAAACTAGATTTTATTTACATGCAACTTTTTAGGAATGACTCTTTAACATTCAAATAATAGTAGTAACATAGCATCCTTAATTCCCTTTTGTTTTCCATGTTATTCAAAGTCTAGTGTAAAAATATATTCATTTAGTTACTTTAAAGCTTTCGAAATTTTTGTCAGTTTTCTCAGTTTCCTAATATTGCTGTAAAGCAGCATAAAAGACTAGAATAATTTATTTCAAATTATCAGCTTATTTTAGGGCTAATTTACACATTATGATACTGCTATTATAAAATCTTGTACAAGACACTTCTTTGGTCCTCAGTTTCCTCTTGTATAAAATGAGGGATATTGAAATTCCAAGATGCTAAGAACAAAGAGAAACTAAGATATTTGATGTATTTATTGTTGCTGTTCTCTCCAGATCTCAGACTCTGTATCTACAAAACAAGGACATTGTACTTAAATTATCTTGAATATCTCCTCTTTTCAATGCTCTGGGATAAGCAGCTGCTTGTCTGCTTGGAAGTCAACTACTAGGAAGGATGTTCATTTTATTCTGTTTTCCCTTACATTTTTCCCTTTCGGGCAGCCTCTTTCAGCATTCTCTACACGGAATGAAGAGCTGCGACATCATTTGACTAACAGAAAACTTGGATCACCTAAGCTGGAAGATTTTGAAGATTTTGAAAAGGGTTGCTTCAGTTCCCCACTATCAGAAAAATCTTTAACACTCAATTTCGCATGTGAAGATGTGGAAATGCCATCGGATATAAGTCAGATGGATTCATTTAAGCAAACAGGAACTGAACCATTATATAGAAGTGACCCTTTCCTAAAAGAGGGTGCTTGCAGTATTTCTGCTGCCCATAGGTTAGCCTGTTTGGAAGTTGAGCCCGTAATTGGTTCTCGTTTCCACTGTCCTTCCCACTTACATCGTTCAAAGGTTTGTCTTGCTTCCCCTGCTAGTTCTGAACAGTCTGGTCCATCTGAGAATGACCAAGACCTTCAAACTGACAGTTGTAGTGATTCTTCCCTTGAGTCATCTACCGCTTTCAGACTGTCTCTCCTGCCTTTGAGCTCCTTTGCTTGTGTTCCTTATTCAGGTGACTCATGTAACTTTGGACAGGTTGATCTACCTGACAGTTATCAAGGTCATAAGACTGACAATTGTGCTAGCAATTCTCTTGAGTTGGACTCTCCCCCACAGCCGAATACTTTTTTCTCTCCTCCTAGAGTTCCTTCCTCTGGTCCATCCAGAGAGTTTGACTTTCATTACCCTTCTGGTTCTCCTCTTTATTTTCAAAATTCCTCAGTTCATTCGAGCACCGCTTACAAGCCACAGATAGATCTGTTTGCTAACACAGAATTGGAGGCTTCTTCAGCAAATGTTTGTGCCATAATTTCATCATCTACTTCAAGTAATGGGCATTTTTCTGAAACAAAAAATGTTGAAACACCAAGATTTCAGAAACGTCGTTTGGCAAAATCTGTTCTAACAGGAAGTGCCTTTACTGCAAGCTTTCAGGCACAAAAGGATGAACAAAGCTGGATGAATTTTGTGCCTTGGACCAAACTCTTCAGTCTACAAACTGAGGTATTAGTCTTATTTCTCCTTAAGTCTGTGGTTAATTAGCTTCATAGTTTAGAGCAGAGCTATTCAAAGTACCTGGTCGTTTATCAGCACAATAGTGAGGTAAGTGACTTGTGGCAGAATGTAAATCAATACACTGCTTCTTCCATTGAGAAAAATTTTCCAAAAAAAAGTCAACAATAAATACAGTGTGCTTGATAATGGTATTTATCTATCTAGTTTTAACTGTTAGGCTAGAATATCATGCAAGTGAATGTTAATATTCCTCAGTTGAAAGTTAATCATCCCTGAACAGGTCATGGGGTAAGACCTTGATTTCCTAGGTTCTAGAACAGGTGAATTGCAATTATGTAAATTTCCCACTTTCACGTAGAGGACGAGAGCTGTAAGTATACTCTAATTGTTTTCACATATGGTCTTAGGAATATCACTCAACATGTAAGACTGTGTGAGAGCTTATCATTCCATTTGTGAAGCTAATAAACACTAAGTAAACTTAGTTCCTGCGCTGGTACTAAGACCCAGCCTCATATCTGTAATTATTTGGTTTAATGTAAAGTAGTTTAGTAAAGTGGAAACGCAACTTGATTTAGTGTAAGACTAAATTTGAGCCGCGGTTAGTACTTTGTGATTTGAGGCAAGTCGGATAACCTTTCTGAGTCTCAGTTTCTTCATCCATATACTGGGGATAATAATAGTGTCTGCCTCATAGAGTAGTTTTGAGGTTTAAACATGATCATAACAGCTGTCCAGCTTTTTTTTTTTTTTTACCTGGAAGAGTGTCCATGAAAGTAGTGTAGGAAGCAGTACAGCAGATGCTGCTGTCTCTGGGCCCTGGAGCCAGACCAATAGAGCTTACATGGTGCCTCTGCTGCTTGTTAGTTGTCTGACTGTGGACAAGTTACTTAACCTCTCTGTACCTCAGTGATCTCATCTGCAAGGTGGGTATAGTAATAGTCTCTCCATAGGAAGTGGCTAAAAAGATTGTTTTTCTTAAATCTAAGCACCTAGGGGGGCGCCTGGGTGGCGCAGTCGGTTAAGCGTCCGACTTCAGCCAGGTCACGATCTCACGGTCCGTGAGTTCGAGCCCCGCGTCAGGCTCTGGGCTGATGGCTCGGAGCCTGGAGCCTGTTTCCGATTCTGTGTCTCCCTCTCTCTCTGCCCCTCCCCCGTTCATGCTCTGTCTCTCTCTGTCCCAAAAATAAATAAAAAAACGTTGAAAAAAAATTAAAAAAAAAAAAATCTAAGCACCTAGGACTAGTTTAATACTAGTTGGCACATACCAGTGCTGTTATTTTTCAAATTATTGCCATAGAGTCTGTGTACCTGCCTATGACCTCATCCACCTTTCTGCTTTCTGTATTAGCTCCTCTGGGATCTGAAGTTGATATACTTTAAGGTCAAGATCCCCATGTTCAGGCTTATGACCACCTCGTAATATGTAATAAACATCAGCCTTAAAAGTAGAGACTTAGGGATGTTTGGGTGGCTCAGTTGGTTAAGCGTCTGACTTCAGCCGAGTTCGTGATCTCATGGCTCATGAGTTCGAGCCCTGCGTCAGGCTCTGTGCTGACAGCTCAGAGCCTAGAGCCTGTTTTAGATTTTGTGTCACCCTCTCTCTCTGCCCCTTCCCTGCTCATGGTCTATCTGGCTCTCTCAAAAATGAATAAACATTAAAAAAAATTTTTTTTTCAAGTAGAGACTTAGCTGGGGTGGGCAGGGGACAGTAAGGTCATTTTAAAGAGCATATTCACCGTAACTATTTTATATTTAGTAAAAATTTGTCATTTTCATATTTTGGACTTCATAAAGGCACATTTTTAATATTGAACAAAAGGAATCATGCTACTTAAAAGTTTGAGAAACATTGGTTCAAAGCATTACTAGAAGAAAAAATTCATAACACCATTTTTTAAAATGCCTGCACATGAGTCTCTTTCCAGACTTTTTATAAGTGCCATCTGATACATACTGTCCATAGTGTTTTTGAGATTCCTAACAATACTATGTCACTAGTGTATGAAGAACTTTGACTTAAACTTTTTTTTCATTTTTTAATATTTTATTTATTGTTGAGAGACAAAGACAGACAGAGCAGGGAAGGGGCAGAGAGAGAGGGAGACACAGAATCCAAAGCAGTCTCCCTTCTTGGAGCTGTCAGCACAGGGCTCAACCCCATGAACTGTGAGATTATGACCTGAGCCAAAGTCAGACGCTTAACTGACTGAGCCACCCAGGCGCCCCTGAAGAACTTTGATTTTAAAAATAATAAAAATTATAATAAAAATTTTTTACAATACAAATTTTAGAAATGTCTTAATAAACTGAATTTAAATAATTGGAAACATTATTTATTACATAAATTCTTATGTATGTGATTAAATTTCAAAAATGTGGCTTAAATTTGCTTTTTTATTTCATAGGATGGCTTCTGGAAACTTACATCAGAACTGGGATTTATTTTAAACCTTAATACAAATATTTTAAACAGCTTTCTTGAACAAAAAGGCATTAGATCTCTAGGTAAGTCACCATTTTTCTATTAATTAAATGGCATGCTCTTAACTGTTGTAAATTTTGTTGTAAACTAGTATACTAATATGATAATTATGTAAGTTACATATGAGTGGAATTATATTTGTTAACCATCAAATGAAACAAGAGGACCAGTTTCTAGTCATATCTTTACCACTAACTAGGGTATTACCTGTGTAAGTTAATTAGCATAAGTAACAATAACTTCTGTTTTAAAAATCCAAAATTTCAGTAGCTTAACACAAAGATTATTTTCTTGCACATATCACAGTCAAATAGTAGTCAGCAGGAAAATTCCACTCCAAGTTTTCATTTACAGGCCCAGGCTCCATCCATATTGTGGCTCTACCATTATCAAAAGTGTCTTTATTATTTTTTTTTTATTATTTTTTTTTTTTTATTTTTTTTTTCAACGTTTATTTATTTTTGGGACAGAGAGAGACAGAGCATGAACGGGGGAGGGGCAGAGAGAGAGGGAGACACAGAATCAGAAATAGGCTCCAGGCTCCGAGCCATCAGCCCAGAGCCTGACGCGGGGCTCGAACTCACGGACCGCGAGATCGTGACCTGGCTGAAGTCGGATGCTTAACCGACTGCGCCACCCAGGCGCCCCAAAAAAAGTGTAAAAAGAACAATATACATGACCAAGTGGGATTTATCACAAGTACACATGGCTGGTTCAACATTAGAAAATCTATCAATGTGATCCATTACATCAACAAACTAAAAACAAAAAAATTACATGATTATACCAATAGATTCAGAAAAAGCATTTGAGAAGATCCAATACTCATTCATGCTATAAAATCTCAGTAAACAAAGTATTGAAAGAGCCCAAATGTCCATCAACTGATGAATGGATAAAGAAGATGTGGTATACATGTACAATGGAATATTACTTGGAAATCAGAAAGAATAAAATCTTACCATTTGCAACAATGCAGATGCAACTAGAGTGTGTGTTATGCTAAGCAAAATAAGCCAGTCAGAGAAACACAAATATCGTATGATTTCACTCATATGTGGAATTTAAGATACAAAACAGATGAACTTAGAGGAAGGGAAGCAAAAGTAAAATAAAAACAGAGAGGGAGGCAAACCATAAGAGACTTTTTTTTTAATTTTTTTTAACGTTTATTTATTTTTGAGACAGAGAGAGACAGAGCATGAATGGGGGAGGGGCAGAGAGAGAGGGAGACACAGAATCGGAAGCAGTTTCCAGGCTTTGAGCCATGAGCCCAGAGCCCGACGCGGGGCTCGAACTCAGGGACGGTCAGATCGTGACCTGAGCCAAAGTCGGATGCTCAACCGACTGAGCCACCCAGGCGCCCCATAAGAGACTCTTAAATACAAAAAACAAACAGGGTTGCTGGTGGGGTATTGTGGGGAGATGGGCAAAATGGGAGGTGAGCATTAAGGAGGGCACTGGGTGTTATATGTAAGTGATGAATCATTAAATTCTATCCCTGAAATCATTATTACACTATGTGTTAACTAAAACGTGGATCTAAATAAAAATAAATTAAATAAATAAATAGATAAATAAAATCTCAGTAAACAATGAATAGAGGAGAACCTCTTCAACTAAAGACTATCTATAAAAAACTTACAGCTAATATTATGCAAAATGGTGAGAATATAGAAGCTTTTCCATCAAGATCAGGTACAAGACAAAGATTTCCCCTCTCTCCACTCCTTTTTAATATTGTACTAGAAGTCCTTGCTAATGCAATAAGGCAAGAACAGAAAGTAAAAGATCTACAGATCAGGAAGGAAGAAATTAAAATTTTCTTTGTTTACAGATGATATGATTGTTGACGATTCAAAATAATCAACAAAAAACTCTTGGAACTTAACTGGAATTAAAATTAAAACTTAAAAAAAAGAAGTCTTAATCAGATTTGCAGCATGACCCTGATACCAAAACCAGACAAGGACACTACAAGAAAAGAAAATTACAGGCCAATATTCCTGATGATTACAGATGCAAAAATGCTCAACAAAATATTAGAAACTCAAGTTCAACAATTCGCTAAAAGTATCATGATCAAGTGGGATTTGTTCCAGGGATGCAAGGATGATTCAACATCTGCAAATTAATCAACATTATATACCACATTAACAAAATGAAGGATAAGAAAAATCATATGATCATCTCAGTGGATACAAAAAAAGCATTTGACAAGTCTTTTTTATCACTTATGTTAAAAAGTATTCTCAACAAAGTGGGTATAGAGGGAATGTTTCTCAGCCTAATAAAAGCCATGTTTGACAGGCCCACAGCTAACATAATATTCAGTAGTGAAAAGCAGAAAGCTTTTCCTCTAAGATCAGGAGCCCAATGATCTTAGGCAAGGATGTCCACTATCCCCATTTTTATTCAACACAGTATTGGAGGTCCTAGTCAGAAAGAGGTCCAATGCAAGAAAGAGAAATAAAAGGCATCAAATCAGAAAGGAAGAAATACAACTATCACTATTTGCAAACTGACATGATAGTATATATAGAAAACCCTAAAGACTCCACCACAGAACTATTAGAACTAATACACAAATTAAGGAAAATTGCAGGATACAAAATCAATACACAAAATCAGCTGTGTTCCTATGCGGTAATAATGAACTATCAGAAAAAGAAATTAAGAAAATAATCTGATTTACACGTTTCAAAAAGAATAAAATACCTACGAATAAATTTAACCAAGGAGGTGACAGACTTATACATAAAAAGTATAAGATACTGATGAAAGAAATTAAAGTAGACACAAATAAATAGAAAGCTATTCCATGCTCATGGATTGGAATATTGCTTAAATGTTCATACTACCCAAAGCAATCTACAGACTCAATGCAATCCTTATCAAAACTCCAATGGCATTCTTCACAGAAATAAACAATCCTAAAATTTGTACAGAACCACACATACCCTCTCTCTCTCTCAAAAGAAACCAAAAAAATCCCAAAAGAAGTCAAGTTTTTAAAAAGATTGATAATAATCACAAAGTTCTTGCATGAGTGAACAAAAAGAGAAAGAAGGCATTATAAAGAATATTAAGAATAAAAGAGGGTAGTTAATGAAAAGTGGTAGAGAGATTTAAAGAATAATAAGATCTTATGAACAGCCTTATGCCAATAAAGCTTAAAACTTAGGTGAATTTTCAGAAAATATTAAATTTACCACACCCAACTAAAGAAAAAATAGAAAGCTTGAATAATTCTGTAGTGATTAAAGAAATTAGTTTAAAACCTTCTCACAAAGAAAACAACACTAGGTTGAGATTATTTTACCCCATTCTTCTACCAAATATTCAAAGAACAGATAATTCCAACCTAATACAAAATATTGTAGATCTTAGGAAAAATATGAGAATACTTTTCAGCTTATTTTACTAACATAATTTAATTTAAAAATATGACAAAGATTGCAATAGCATCAAAAACAATAAAATACCTAGGAATAAATTGAGCAAAAGATATGCAAGACTTGTACACTGAAAACTATAAGATATTAATGAAAGAAATTTTAAAAGATCTAAATAATGGAAGAATGTCACATGTTCATGGATTGGAAGCCTTAATATTGTTAAGATAGCAATACTCCCCCAAATGATCTACAGATTCAATCCACTCCCTATCAAAATCTCAGATTACTTTCTTGCCGAAATTGACAAGCTGATCCTAAAATTCATATGGAAGACCTGGAATGGCCAAAACAATCTTGAAAAAAACAAAAAACAGGAGGAGTAACACTTCTCAATTTCAAAATTTAAGGAAAAACTGCATTAATCAAGACAATGTGGTAATGGCATAAAGGTAGATGGAATGGAATCAATGGAATAGAATTGACAGTCCAGAAATAAGCCTCTTCATTATGGTCAGTTGTTGTGTGACAAGGATGTCAAGACAATCCAAGGGGAAAGAACATCCTTTTCCACAAACACCTGGCACTGGAACAACTGGATATCTAAGAAGCAAAAGTGTGAAATTGGATCTCTTTCTTCCAAATATAAGTTAAAACTATTCATCTCCTAGAAGAAAACAGAAGTAAATCTTCATGACCTTTGATTAGGCAATGGTCTCTTGACACTGAAAGCACAAAAGAAAAATAGACAAACTAAACTTGATCAAATTTAAAATTGTATATGTAAGGTATGCCTCAATTAAAATTTTTTGAAATTTTGTGTGCAACTGAAAAATTAAAAGACAACACAAAGAATGGGAGAAAATGTTTGCGAATCACGTATCTGATAAGGGACTGGTATCCAGAATATATGAAGAACATTTAATTCAGTAATAAAAAGCTAAATGGTACAATTAAAAAGTAGGCAAAGGATTTGAATAGATATTTCTCCAAAGAAGACATACAAATGGCTAATACAGACCTGAAAATATGCTCAACCTCATTAGTCATCAGGGAAATGGAAATAAAAACTATAGTGATGTACTACTTCATACCCACTAGGGTGACTATAATTTAAAAAAAAAAAAAAAAAAAGAACACCCATCAAGGGTGAAAAGATGGACTTTCAATCGATGGTGATGGGACAACCAAACAATAAGAAAAAAGTACAGTTTGGCCCTTTACCTCATACCATACTCAAAAATTCCAAATAGATTGAAAACCTAAGTATTAAAAAACAAACAAAAATTTTGGAAGAAAATACTGGAAAGAATCTTTTTGATTTTAGGACAGGTAAAATTTTTTTTTAACTTTTTATTTTTAAGTGATTTTAGCCTTGCAGAAAAGTTCAAATATAGTACAAAGAATTCTCATATACCCTTCACCTAAATTCTCCAGATGTTAACATTTGGAAGTACTTAACTTATCATTCAGAGAGGAATTTTCAATGCAAAGAAAGGCACAAGCCATAAAGGAAAAGATTAATAAAGTAGACTACATACATCAGCCATGCCTTTTCACCAAAAATAAATAAAATTTAAACTGTGAGAAAGGCATACTATAAACTAGCCTAAAGACACATATAAACA